TTTCTGTGTCCATCCCCCGTTCTGCAATTCGGGCCGCGACATTGACAACGAGGGCCGAGATCTCTGACACCCACCCCCACCTTCTTGAGAGGAAGTCTAGAGGGAGAAGAGGCTTGCCACCAGGAGGAAGAAATGTAAGAAAGATAGAGACAGAGAACAGTTCCCAGAGATTTATTATACTCCATATTTCTTCTTTGGCTTTTGCTCTGCCCCATACACACACATACTAGAGATTTATTATAATTTTTTATATTTTTCTTCTTTAGCTTTTGCCCTGCCACATACACACACGTACTCAAACAACCGAGCAGCCCAAACACAGAGATTATAAACCAATCAGTAGGAAGTCAGAAGTCCCAACAGTCTACTCCTCCCCCATCCTGCCATCCCATGCAGCACCATAGTCAAGTGCCTGAGAGAAAGACATAAAGCATGAAGGAGGATCCCTAAGAAAGAGCTTCTAGGAAAGATCAGAGATCCCAGAGGACCTTGGTGCACAGCCAAAGAGCAGATAAAGGTCCAGGCTCTAGCTTTTCAGAGCAACTGAAGGATAGCCACAGCCTCCTCCCCAGCCCTGTTGTCACAGAAATTAATTACTTGTTGCATCAGCACTGTCAGAATCATCCTGCGGGGGGGAAAAAGACAAAGCACTTGGAGTCACTGCAAGGAGTGAACATTTGTGATCACAAATGCTGCTCACTCCCTCCTGCTCTCTAAGTTTCTTTTTGTGATTTGCTAAACCACATGACTTAGGAGGCTAATAAGGAAGGATTTTAACTTTGGATAATAAACAAACCACTGGTACTCAATGAATAGCACTCTGTCATGCATCATTGAGTTTCAGAATTTTAATTAATGCTACTGCTAATTACAGCTATAAAGAAACTCAACAGGGCCAGGTCTATCCTAGGATGGAGAAGTAGATGAGGAGATGAAAAGGAGGAGGGTCTTCCTGCAGTTTTCTAAATCCTGGAGAAGAATATTAGACAGACCTCTTGTGTCAAATTCAAAACTGGTTAACATGCACTGAAAACTACTGTGTGCTAGGGACTGGGATGGGGGCTTTAAATGTAGAGTATCTACTCTTTGACCTAGCAATTCCACTTTTTAAGGGCTAAATGAAATTGAAGGATTGAGGGAAGGCTTTACTTACATCCAGGTCGTCCATGGCAGGGGGTGGTCTCTTGGTGCTGACCTTCTTCAAAAGCTAGTAGAAAGAGAAAAAAGTCCAAGAGAGAAGCGGGGTGAGGGAAGAGCAATCTGCATATTTATGGGCCACAAGGGAATAGTCCCAGCCACAGCTAGTCAGGAAACTGCTGTCATCTTTATTATTATTATTATTTATAAAGAAAAGATAACCAGGCACAGTGGCTCACACCTATAATCCCAGCACTTTGGAAGGCCAAGACAGAAGGATTGATTAAGGCTAGAAGTTCAAGACCAGCCTGGGCAACATAGCGAGAGCCTATTTTTACAAAAGTAAAAAAATTAGCCAGGCATGTTGGCACACCTATAGTCCCAGCTTCTCAGAAGGCTGAGGTGGGAGGATCCCTTGAGCCCAGGAGTTCAAGGTTACAGTGAGGTATGATCAGGTCACTACACTCCAGCCTAGGTAACAGAGTGAGACCCTTTCTCTAAAAAGAGAAAAAAAAGATGTCTATTTGGCTTACAGATCTGGAGGCTGGGAACTACTCCCATCTTTAAAGTCCTTAATATATCACTGGAATTAATTGGAGAAAAGTAAATTGATTCCCTTCTTAAAAGAAAATTTAATTACACATAAACAGAGCACCCTCCCTACTAATCCAGATTGGGGTCTGTCAGTGTTTTTGCAATTTGAATAAATAGCAGCTGAAATTCTAAAACCAAATAACATATGACAGGGTGATATTTATTGGGAACTAATGATTTATTTTATGATGTGATGGTTTTATACTGCTAGTTTTAGCTTCCCATGAAGATGTTTGGCTTGGGAAGAAAAAGAAAAAACACAAAGAAAATAGAAGAGAGGGCCGGGCGTGGTGGCTCATGCCTATAATCCTAGCACTCTGGGAGGCCGAGGCTGGAGGATTGCTTCAGCCCAGGAGCTCAAGACCAGCCTGGGCAGCAGTGAGAGCCCATCTCTACAAAAAATTAAAAAAGAAAAGAAAAGAAAATAGGAGAATGAGAATTACAGAAAAGTGGGAAAAGTTTTTATCAAACTTCTTCGGAACATAGGCTCTACCCTATAAATAGCAAGTGAATCCATGTATATAATTTCAGTAATATTCATTCCTCTTGTCCCTACTAAATAAACAATGCACAAAATATGTAAAAAATATCAGCACCAATGGCTAGCCTGCCTAGGGGGCTAATATATCTCTGCCTGGCCCTGATGACAATTCTCCAAAGAAATGTGTGCAGAACGACACAGAGAATGATCGAGATGGGCAGAAAATGACAGATGCTGTCTCTCTCTTACCTCTGCGTAATGCTCCACGTGAGCCAGCTCCACCTCTTCATCCCCTTCCCAGTCTCTCCAGTTATCAAAGTCCACAGACAGCCACACTGGCTGCAAGAGGAAGCATGGAGGGTCACAGGCCAGGAGGAGAGCAGCAGGAATGTGTGGGAGAGTGTGAGCATGTGCATAGGAGCATGCTTGGGGGTCAGTTGGGCACACGATCCTCCCAGCCACACCCCGTTGACCAGCACTCCTCCAGATTGCCATCATCATCATCCACGAAGATTTACCAGGAACCCACTAAGTGCCACGCACAATGCCAGGCATGGTATAGTCTGAAAAAATATAGAAGTTCTGCCCTCCAGGAACAGACTGACTAGGGAGACAACACATCTGGAAAAATAACTATATCATCATAGGGGTCAGCCAAGCAAGACAGACAAGGTACATTCCCTGGAGTCTGAGACAACCTTTTGAGGCCCATGTTCCAATGTTCCCACATTTATATGGGGAAGAAGTTATTCGCGCATTCATTCAACAGATATTTATTGAACACATACAATGGCCAGACCCTGAACTTGGCATTGGGATTATATAAATGTTCAACACACTGTCCCAGCCACAAGGAATCAAGTGGGGAGTGAGATATAAATAAATTATTATAGCACAGTTTGAAAAGCATGGTGGTGGAGTTATATAGGGGATATCATGGGAACTCCAAAAGGAGTTAAGGGAACACTGGTTCTTGGAGGAGCAGGGCCTTGAAGGATGTACAGGGATTACACGGGTGAAGGTAGTGGTGAGGGTGACTTTCCAGGAAGAAGGCACAGCCTGAGCAAAGGTACAGAGGTGAGAAATAGCCTGGTTTGTGAAAAAGAGCTACAGTCTGCTGTGGCTGAAATGTAAAGTTTGACGCAGAGAGCATGGGATGGGCTTGTGTCATGCTACGGTGCTTAGACTTCAACCTAAAATGCAGGAAGTGAAAAGCCCAAATGCCCAAAAGAGTCAGGGAGGTACCAAATAGGAATAAAGTGAGGTTGAGTGCATGCTCCATTTAAAGCGTCAACTCTAGGTATTTGGGAATTTATACCAGTGTAGCTGGATTCTCCCATTTTTCAAGAGAAGCTAATAATCTGGATTTTTAGGTGCAATATCCACATTTTAAAATGTCAGCAACTAATAAAAAATATTAAATGTCAGTAACCAATCAAAATAATTTTTATTTTATTTTATTTTTATTTATTTGTTTACCTCAAAGAACTGCTTTATTGATACTGCGAGGCTGGGCTTGGCTGCCTGCTCAAGTGGTCCTGTAGAAAATACCTGGGAACAGTGGCTCTTCTGGCCCAGAAGCAGTCACGCCACAGCAGAGGGAAACAAGAGATCCCGATATGAACATAGTCTTTCCGGGAGTGGGCAGGGATATGCAGGCCTGCATTGGCTCATGCACTGGCTGGGCCCCCAGAACATTTTTGGCAAATGTGTGCCTTGGCTCAGGGCCAAAATAATTTTTTTTTTTTTTTGAGACATAGTCTCACTCTGTTGCCCTGGCTAGAGTGAGTGTGGTGGTGTTAGCCTAGCTCACAGCAACCTCAAACTCCTGGGCTCAAGAGATCCTATTGCCTCAGCCTCCCGAGTAGCTGGGACTACAGGCATGCGCCACCATGCCCGGCTAATTTTTTCTATATATTTTTTAGTTGTCCAGATCATTTCTTTCCATTTTTTTTTTTTTAGTAGAGACGGGGGTCTCGCTCTTGCTCAGGGTGGTCTCAAACTCCTGAGCTCATTTGAGCGATCCACCCGCCTCGGCCTCCCAGAGTGCTAGGATTACAGGCGTGAGCCACCGCACCCAGCCAGGGCCAAAATAATTTTTAACACTGTGAAGATTGCTAAAATAAATTTGAGAGCAAGATCCAGCCAGTAGGCAGCCAGTTTTCAACCTTTACAGGAGAAGAAGCCATTGGAGAGTCTTAAGTGGGAGAGTGACAGGGTCAAGTGTGTGTTTCAGACACAGCATGCTGGGGCAAGATGAGGACAGATTGAGGAGAGGGCTGAAAAGATGCAACAAATCTCTCGCGCCCAGTGATGGATAAGGCCGGAATTAGGAAGAAATTAAGTAGTGGATCCAAGAATACTTAGGAGGTCAACTAGGCAGGACCTGGTGAGTTATTGAATGTTGGATGGAAAGGAGGCAAGGGTGATCCCAGCTCTAACTTGGGTACCTGGGTACATGGACAGAAGGAGCAGGCCACATCCCACACACTCACCTTGATATCCTCCTTGGTGAGCCGGGGCCAGGCCACCTTCTCCTTCCATTTCCTCACAAAGCAAGTAATGGAGCGGCAAGAGCGCTTATCCTGGGAGTCCTGCCATATAGAAAGCCTCATTTTTAGGGTCTGAGATTTAAAATGAATCTCCAGTTTCCCGGGCTGCCTTTCCATCCAGACCTCACTGTTCCACCGCACCCTTACCTTGGAGTTCACCTTGGCATAGAACTCAATCTCATTGTACAACTCCACTCCCTCGGCGTTCTTACAGCTGAGGAGACAAGGAAGACGAGGAGATGCAAGAACCTGAGTATGGGGGCGTTAGGAGAAGGGGGAGGCTCCTGGGAAGCCAGGTCCTCCAGAAGGGAGGCCTTTACCTGAACACGATGCGGTGGTCCTCAATGAGCACATGGACATCAGTGCTGTCCTCAACGCAAAACTCCATGAACACATACTTGGGCCTGTCGTACCACAGGGTCCGCGCGTGCTGCCTGAAGAGGAGTTGAGGTGGGGCTTCATAGGGGTGGGAGAGGGAAGACTGGGCATTTGGGAAAGGTGGAGGGAGGGGACAATACAAGGACCTTTGACGCCACAGTCTTGTCAAAGAGCAGCTAAATGAGACAGGGGGGTGGAAGGGAATGCCTGGAATGGGTGGGTGTGGTGATGGTAAACCTGGAGAGAATCGAAAGTGCTATACTAGGGACGTAGGGAGTTAATGAGAACATTCAGGTCACATCTCCCCTCACTCCACGGTCACAGAGACCTAGGGTCTGGCGCTCCCATGGGGCCTCGCGGAACCTGGAGCACCCAGGAAAAGACCTGGGGCAGGGACTCTCCAGGGAAAAGGGCCAGCGGGAGCATCGCGGCCAGAAACACTCACCGTGCCATGGCGGCGCCCGCTGCTGGGTGGCGTTTGGAATCCCAGGCAGGTCAGCTATCTTTAGATCCTAGGGACGTCCCCAGCAGCTGCCTTGCCTTATATGGTTGGGAGAAGGGTTGAGAGGAAAGGAGAACGTGGCCCGACAGCCAAAGGATCTGCACTCCGGAGATAACCTGAGAGAGTTTAATCCCTGCAGCCCTTCACCTCTCCCGGTCTCCAGAAATGTATAGATTAGGAACAGAGACAACCCACCCGCTGGGACCAGGGCAAGGGCTACTACCTTAGACACTGGGTACGACGCAGGGAAGGACTTGTCCATGGCCTCATTCACTTGTTTCACCGACGCTTAGTATTCAGTGCCTGATTCACAATACGCGCTCAACGAAAAATTATTGGCCAGAATTAAATCCCCAGGGAAGACCCACCCCGACGACGTCGGAACTGCAAGCCCCGCCCACAGTCCCCCCCCCGTCTCCCTGCCAGCGCGCCGTTGCCATGGCAGCAAGGGGGCGCGGCTGACGTGCGGCGGCGTTTCCGGGAAGATGGCGGCTATCGAAGCGGCTGCGGAGGTGGTAACGGTGGTGGCGGCCGTTGAGCCAAAGGCGAAGGACGAAGAGGAGGAGGAAGAGGAGTCGCTGCCACCTTGCGAGGCGGTGCGCTGGGCCCCGGTGGGGGCGGTGGCGGAGGCCGGGCCTGGGGCGGCTGCGTTTGTGGAAGAGGCGGCGGCCGAGGAGCCCAGCGCTGCCCCGGGTTCCCCGCCTGACTCGCCGGGCCGGACGCTGCGGCGGCTGCGGGCGGAGCGGCGGCGGCTGGACTCAGCGCTGCTCGCGCTGTCCTCGCACTTCGCGCAGGTGCAGTTTCGCCTGCGCCAAGTGGTGCGCGGGGCGCCGGCGGAGCAGCAGCGCCTTCTGCGCGAGCTCGAAGACTTCGCCTTCCGCGGCTGCCCTCACGTCCTGGGTTATGAGGGGCCTGGGGACCCCGCCAGTGACGAGGGCGACAGGCTGCCAGGGGACCAGCCACGGTTGCGGGGCGACGACCAGGTGAGCGGCTGGGGTGGGGCCGCGAGGGATATGGAAATAGGGGGATCGAGTGGGTGGCGATGCAGACCTGGATGGTGGTAGAAGGGGTGAGAAGCCCACCCGACTGGATGAGTGCGTGGGTCAGAGACGAGGGTACTGGAGGCAGGTGTGCGGGGCCTGCTGAAGGGCTAGAGGACAGAGAGGGCTGGGCACCTGAGGGTGAGCGGTGTGCACTGAAGATGTGGAAAGAGAGATGCCAGTGTGTGATGACGTGAGGGGCGGCGGAGCTGTGAGCGATTGAGAGGGCAACAGAGCAATAGAAGCAACGCTGCTCCTGCTCCCCTTGCCCTCGCACTATAAAGTACTTAAGTCCTGAACACTTTTGTTGATTAGAGTACCCCGATCCTGGGGATTGGGGAAATTGGCAAGTGAAATGAAAGTGAGTTAGAAACATGGAAATTTGGTTTAACTACCTGTCTGTGCTTTCCTGGAATCTAGGCGAAGTCTTGAATCTTTAGACTCTCTTTTCTGGGTGAGAAGTTTGGTGAACAGCAGAGTCTCTTGTAATTGAAAGAAACACACTCCAGATTATATGAATTTCCTAATGTTTGAATTTTTAAACTCCTCCCTCATCCTGCTTAATAACTAAATATTCTGAATGAGGTCCTCTGGTAACAGTGACAAGATCGATTCAGTTTGCCTACACTGAGAAATAGTGAATATACCACACCAAGGAAATCTTTCCTTACAGGTTTTGAATCTCTGGAAGTACGCAGATGTAGATAGCTTGTTGGAGGTGTTGAGACACTTTGCCTTTACACCTTTTCGTACTTCAAGTTATAACCCACAGGTGGCTTTCTTCCCACTTAAACTGGTTTTAACCAAGAAGATTTTATCAGTAGCAGATACTGATTTGTTTATTTTAATCTGAGCTGTTCCCGGTGCAATCCTGTATTTACTATTCCTCCCTTCTCCACATCCCCACAGCTCCTTGCACAAGGAACAGCCACCTCAAACTGCCAGACTTTAGGATTAGAGAGGATGGAATTACTGGGACCAGGCACTGTTCAGGAGTGAATAGCACCAAAGGTTCTGTGTGATGTGGAACTCTCTTTTTGTTGTTCACTTTCACTTTCAGAAACAGTGTACCACCTTTTAAAAAGTACTGCTCAACCCACCTAATAAACACCTGTAATCTTGTATGCATACATTGACATGTGAACAGGTAGTGCCAAAGTGGGGGACATCTTTGTATGGAATGATTTACTTCTTATCGGTTCCAAATTTTTTAAAGCCAGTATTTTCTCATGTCTCACTTCATACTGGAAATTATTCCTATTATTTCCTGCCTTGCACCAGAGCTCATTGTTCTTCCCTATTAAACTTGTTTGCCCACACTCCAGCAAATAGCATATTGTAGCTACCATGACAGGTGACGGACTTCAGCAGACGTACTCATGAAGACAGAATCAGAATTTATATCTGGTTTGTTTCTTCCTTGGCTTCATAAAGTTGGGATACAATGAAAACAAAAACAAAGACTTTTCCCTTTGAAATAACAAAAAGTTCTTTCTCCTTGGGCTGGTTAGACAACTTCCTCCAATCAGAGTTCATTATTTGGAATTTGTCCTTCTGTACTTAGTTCAGTAACATACAGCAAATGTGTATCGAGAGCTTACCCTGTGCCAGGCACTGTGCTAAGCTTTGGGGGTTTAAAGTCAAGACCCTTGTCCTTAAGGAGTTCATAGGCTAGAGGAGACAGAATTCCTAAACCAATAATATAATATGAGCTACAGTAGAAGCGTGTAAAAAATCCAGAGGAGAAAATGATTAGTTCTGCCTGAAGAAATCAGGAAAACCTCTTCAAGGAGAGCTAGGCCTTCACCTAGTGGGGAGGGGGGACAGGGTTCTAAGAAAAAGCAACAGCACTCTGAAAGGATCAGAGAGCGAGTATCCTGAGAAAAGGCTTGTTCTCACATTGAGCAAAACTAAAACAAGAGGACTGCTTTTTAAGTACTTGAACAAAAAGTTAATTTGTTTTTTTTTTTTTCATTTGTTGTCTTTCATACCTTACTTCTGGAGGGCTTGGTAAGTACCATTTTAAGGTTAAATTTAATACCCTATAGAATTCTAGTTTAAAATGCAGCCTTACATCTTCAGATGATTGGCTGGTTTTGCTTTTTGTTTTTGGTACTCAAGAAAGGCAAGGAGGGACTAGTGTTTGAGACTATGTTGGCAAGACCTTACCACCCCAAAGGATTTTTAATAATTTAAATGCAGAAACTACCTGATGACCAGCCAACAGTGAGAAAAGGAGTCACTGGTCAGGGGAACTTACCAGATACATTTAAAAAAAAAAAAATTGTTGCCTTCCCACCCCCATTACTTGGCTTTGGATTTTTTTCAGTGCCTCAGGGACTTGCATTTGATTCTTTTGATTTTGTGGAAGTAGTCAGTAATATATCACAGGGGCTTTGAACTTTAAGAAAACTGTTTGTATATGTTATAAAGCCTTTCTCTACACCCTTACCCCAGATTCTCTTGCAAAATTTGGCTGCACAAAGTGTTCAGGAGTGGTGCTATGGTAATTGGCTGCGGGGGATGGCATGTTTAATTCCTGGGAGGCTGTCTTGGCTAAGATAGGTTGTTTCTACCCTAACTAGACCTTTGGGGAAAAAAAGCAGTCTTAACAAAAGGCCTTGTTGTATTCATATCCTGTTTCCAATGAGGGACTGATACTTTCTCGAAGGAAACCTTCATTTAATAAGTTGCTTTGGATAAAAAAATTATTCTTACTTTTGAACCTATCTTATGAATTGTGTATTTCATTTGGATTATTTGGAAACATATTTTATTGGTCATTACTGACTTGAGAGGATTTTTAATGTTCCCTGAGCTTTCCTTTTCCTGTGAAATAGATCCAAGTATTTTCTCATCTTAGAGTGAGCAGGAAAAACAAGAACGTCTGGAAACCCAAAGGGAGAAGAAGAAGGAACTGATACTGCAGCTCAAGACCCAGCTAGATGACCTGGAAACGTTTGCCTATCAAGAGGGGAGTTATGACTCCCTGCCACAGTCTGTGGTCTTGGAAAGACAGCGGGTGAGCAGACCTCAGAGATGCCTCCATTACTGCCCAAGATTAACTCGTCCCTTCTGGCATTCCCAGGACATCCTTTCCCAACTCACTTCTCCCTTGGCCTTACTAAGAATCCTTTAGCTGGAGCAAATCAAAGGGAAATTCTACTATTATACACAACCATTCTTTATTCACAGATGGAAAACACCGGTCCTAAAGTTTTGTAATACAATGATTGAGCTCTTTCTTTTTGGTGGGACAGGGTCTGGCTCTGTTCCCTGGGCTAGAGTGCAGTGGCATCATCACAGCTCACTGCAGCCTCAAACTCCTGGGCTCCAGCGATCCTCCTGTCTCAGCCTCCCAAGTAACCAGGACAACAGGTCCACCACCACGCCTGGCTAATTTCTCTGTTTTCTGTAGAGACAGGTTCTTGCTATATTGCACAGGCTAGTCTCCAACTCACCCTTCGGCCTCTCAAAGTGCTAGGATTACAGGTGTGAGCTGCTGCGTCCAGCCTTGGTGGTTATTATTAATAATAGAAGTAATAATATAGTATTTTTTCATTTGGTCATTAAAAAAGTTCTGCTTGGGCCCATGATACAATATGAACTAGCTTTTTCCTGCCTCTCGCCACCAGTTGGTAAATATTCCAGGAATCCAGACTGACTTTAATACTGTATTTATTTAAGACAGACCTGGGTAGACAGGTAAATCTGCTGGTAGAGGTATAGCTACAGCCTCCTCTACATGTTTGTTTATCCCTGTGATGTGGCTGTTTTTCTGTCAGGGCTAGAGTTACGTTATTTGGATCTCAAATTGTTCCTAATAATCTCACTAGGATATTTTGGCTGTATTATGCCTTGATGTTTTATAGCGATTCTTCTTTAATTGCCTAGAGTAAGGCAAGAAGGAAAAAGAAGGATTAGAAATTAGGAAAAATCAGTATGTATTGTCTTTTCAAAGACAATTTAGAGAAACTAAATATGAGGTTTTTGGGTTCATTGGCTACTGTGAATTATTCACACTATTGTTTTCCTGAGTGAAGACTGACTGGCCTGGTAGAAAATTTCCAGTGAGTGAGAGGAGCCAGTTCTATCAGAGAGGAACCAAGCGTTCTTGTTACTCTAAGAGTATAGAGTCTGTGTTCTCGCATTGACCAGCAGTTGATTTGTTTTCTTTTACAAATTTGGAGGTCTGTGTGTTTTTTATTTCCATTTAAGGGTAGAAGACATATTAGCTAAGATTCTCCTTCTCCCTAGCCCTTTTCCTGAAAATTCCAAAGGGTACGCTCATTACTTGTGTTCTTGGTAGGTGATCATAGACGAGTTAATAAAGAAACTGGACATGAATCTGAATGAAGACATCAGTTCCCTGTCCACTGAAGAGCTTCGTCAGCGTGTGGATGCAGCAGTGGCTCAGATTGTTAACCCGGCCCGAGTCAAAGAACAGTTGGTTGAGCAGCTGAAAACTCAGATCCGAGACCTTGAGATGTTCATCAGCTTCATCCAAGGTCAGAGAAGGGGATGGGAAAAGAAGAGTGGACAGATGTCATAATAATTATATTTATTCTAAGTACTAATATGTAGAAGTGCCAGTTCTTGATGTACTATTTAAGAGTTTTGATCACAGCCGGGCGCGGTGGCTCACGCCTGTAATCCTAGCTCTCTGGGAGGCCGAGGCGGGCGGATTGTTTGAGCTCAGGAGTTTGAAACCAGCCTGAGCAAGAATGAGACCCCGTCTCTACTAAAAATAGAAAGAAATTAATCGGACAACTAAAAATACATAGAAAAAATTAGCTGGGCATGGTGGCGCATGCCTGTAGTCCCAGCTACTTGGGAGGCTGAGGCAGTAGGATCGCTTGAGCCCAGGAGCTTGAGGTTGCTGTGAGCTAGGCTGACGCCACGGCACTCACTCTAGCGCAGGCAACAGAGCGAGACTCTGTCTCAAAAAAAAAAAAAAAAAAAGAGTTTTGATCACTTAGTAATGGAACCAGCATGGCAGAATGGAAAGAATATGGGTTTCAGAACCAGATAGTTAAAATCCCAGCTCCGTCACTTATTGGTTTTGTGTCCTTGGGCAGGTTACTAACCTCTTTAGTCTCACTCTCTTCATCCATAAAATGATGATTCATGCTTCATTCACTTAGCAAATATTTGTTGAGCCAACTACTATATGCCAGTAACCATTTTACACTATTAAATAAGAATTTGTGAGATTCTTGTATGTGGTAGATACCATTAAATATTATTTTCCCTTTAAAAATATATATAAAGGGGCTAAATAAGTGGGAGCTAAACTATGGCTACATAGGGGCACACAGAGTGGTATAATGGAACATTGGAGACTCACAAGCAGGGAGGTTGGAAGGTGGTGAGGGATGAAAATTATCTGTAGGGTACAGTGTACACTATTCAGGTGATGGGTGCACTAAAAGCCCAGACTTCACCACTGTACAATATATACATGTAACGGAATTCAACTTATACCCCCTAAATCTATTAAAAGAACAAAAAAGAAAAAAAAACTGGGAGCTAAATAAGTGTCTCCTCTTTGTAATTTCTGATTCCAGATGAAGTAGGAAGCCCCTTGCAGACAGGTGATGGACACTGTGAGTGCAAGGCCGGTGGGAAGACAGGAAGTGCCTCCACCAGAACAGGCAGCAGTAGACTGCCTCCGGGAAACAGCAAAAGTAAGTGCATCTTTCGGAACAGGCAAATCTATAGAGACAGAAGATAGATTAGTGGTTGCCTAGGGCTTGGGAGGGGTGGGGAGAACTGGGGAGTAGGGAATGCTAATGGTATGGAGTTTCTTTTCGGGATGATGAAATATTCTAAAATTGATTGCGGTGATCATTGTGCAACTCTGAATATACTAAAAACCACCGAATGGTACACTTTCAATTGGTGAATTGTATGGTATGTGAATTTTATCTCAATATAGCTATTATTAACCAAAAGAAAAGGAAGTCCAGCTACATCATAGTTGGCTCTTGCCTTCATGTAGGACCCATAATGTGGCTCAGAAGCAAGACTTGACCTCAGCCTGTGACTTGTTGAACATAGCTCTGTGCTGTCATGGCCTCTCACTGATGAGCCATTGTCTTTTCTAAACAGCGAAGGCAGAAGATGCGAAGAGAGTCCGGGAGTCGGGGCTGCACCTGATGCGGCGAGCGCTAGCAGTGCTCCAGATCTTTGCTGTTAGCCAGCTGGGTTGTGCCACAGGCCAGATCCCTCCGACCCTGTGGCAGAGGGGCCAGGCTGATAGAGACTACTCTCCCTTACTGAAGAGGCTGGAGGTGTCAGTGGACAGAGTGAAGCAGCTAGCCTTGAGGCACCAGCCTCACGACCATGTCATCACATCTGCCAACCTCCAGGAGCTCTCCCTGGGAGGCAAGGATGAGCTGACCCTGGCGGTGCGGAAGGAGCTGACGGTGGCTGTGAGGGACCTGCTGGCCCATGGACTGTATGCCTCCTCCCCAGGCATGAATCTCGTCATGGCCCCCATTGCTTGTTTGCTGCCAGCCTTCTCCTCGGCCCCTGAGGCCATGCACCCCTGGGAGCTCTTTGTAAAATACTACCATGCTAAGAACGGCCGTGCTTATGTGGAATCTCCAGCCAGGAAGCTCTCCCAGTCCTTTGCCCTGCCTGTTACGAGAGGCACTGTTGTGACCCCTAAACAGAGCCTACTGACAGCCATCCACATGGTGCTGACAGAACATGACCCTTTTAAGCGCAGCGCAGACTCAGAGTTGAAGGCCTTGGTGTGCATGGCACTGAACGAGCAGCGTCTGGTGTCCTGGGTAAACCTCATCTGCAAGTCAGGGTCACTCATCGAGCCTCACTACCAGCCATGGAGCTACATGGCGCACACGGGCTTTGAGAGTGCCCTCAACCTGCTTAGTCGCCTAAGCAGCCTCAAGTTCAGCCTCCCTGTAGACCTGGCTGTGCGCCAGCTCAAGAACATCAAAGATGCCTTTTGATGAGAATGCCTGACCCCAGACCAGCGCCTTGCTTAGTAGGGATGGATGTGTTAGTCTTCTAGGATAGAAGCAAGGAGTTGGAGGAGGGGTAAAGACATTTTTCCTAGCCCCTGCTTAGGTGGTCAGTGAAATGAGTGCAAATCTGTTTGCCCCACCAACTTAGCATCTTGGAAAGATGTGCCAGAAACCCTCTTGTCAAGAAGGTTCTGCCCTAGTGTGTAACCACAGTGTATGGTGTGGGCACGTGTGCCCAGCCTATGTTAAAGGAATCAATTGTGGCACACAGTTAATGACCCAATTCATTGTGCCTCATTTGATTTTTAGAAAACTTGAGTTGCTCTAACCATTCTTTTTATGGCAGTGAGTGACAACATAAGTGAGTTGTTGGTACCGGAAGACATTCAACTTGAGGCTCCTATTAGTCGAGTTGAGAGCCATCTTCTTTCATTTGAAGCAGGTTTGAGAGTCCCAAGGCCAGAATTTAAATTCCTTTTATAAATTCAGATTCCCCTTTCTTCTTGACCCCAAGGTCAGGGGAGACTATATATTCCATGCTGCCTCTAAAACTAGGAATGGGAATATCTGAGAACAACATTTCTAAGGGACTTAACTACAAGTTGATTTTAACATAAGCCCTTTTTTTTCTCTTAAGAACTGAAATCTCCCTGACAAGGTAGTCCTCTTCTCACAGCACAGACAATGGTCTTTTCTGTCTATGAGGAATGAGAACTGATGTCTAGTACTATGTCCTCTGGCAAGTAAACTTTCCTTCACACGCCTCCCAGCAAGACACAGTCTTTTTAGAAGTGAATATATTCAAGATAAACTTCTTAAGAAAATCCTTACCACTCAAGTCAAGCATGTACAGGAATATATATCAGTAACCAGCAGCTACTCCTCCCTGGGTTGTGACTTGCCGGGCACCACCTGTCCTGGAGTCTGGGTTTTGGAGGAGGTCTATTCTTGCAATAGGTACTGCAGCAGGGACAGGAACTATGGAGGTCCCTGTTTACAGACCAGATGGCCAAGTATTTCATTGTGAAACTGATTTTAGAGTGGTCCTGTTTGGTCTTCAGTATTTTAGCCTTTTAGTTCACATTGGTCACTTGGCTTATGGTGAGTACTGCTCCAGAACTGACCAAAGATGGGCAAAATGTATCACTCCAAACATTACTGATTCAGCATTGTTTTCATGTATTAAATTGCCAACTGCTCTTTGTTTCTGCGCTATTATGTAGTGCATTTTAACTTAATTTTTTTAAATGTGTTATTTAAGGTACATTATTGATATTTCATTAGAATTAGTCCACCTTCCTTGTGAAACAAGTGTAAAATGTTGTGAAAAATGATACCTATGGGATTGCTAATAAAATCATGGTATTTTGTGTAGCTTCTTTGAAGACCTTAGAAACTCTCAGCTTTGGTTTATAAGTCTGTCTTGGTCTTATCAGCCCATCTTATCCAGATCAGTATTTCTTTTAGAGCTCTTTGCTTCCTCTGCCCTGGATCAACTCAGCTGTGGTGGTAGCAGTGGGGGCTTTTTGCCTGAACAAATTCACTAAAAAGTGCCCTTGGCATGATCATCCCCTCTTGTCCAGGCCTACAGTCCCATCCCCATAACACATGTCACCACACATGCTGCTTTTGGAATAGGCACTTTGAAGTCCATTTGTCTGCATATCATTTAGGGTGGGTGATAACTGGTATAGCCGTATGGCATAGCCTTGGCTTCACCCCAGTATTGTCTTTTTCTAGTACAAAAACTAACTTGCATTGAGGCTTTGTACTAGCATCATGGGAAGCATTTTTGTTTATGTCATCCTAATTTAATTCTCACTACTTTAAAGGCAGGACAGTATTGTCCCCACTCTACAGCCAGGGAAGCTGAACTGCAGATAGGTTAACTATTTTGTCCAGGTTTACGTGATGATAGAAGAGCTGGGATTTGAACTGAAGTTGCCTGAATCCAAGGCCTATGGTCTCTGTACTCTATCATGTTACCTGATTGTATCATGCTGTTTCTAGATCTTTTGTTCCTCTCTCTTCCTTATCTACCCCCTCATTTCACCCTCACTTTGGGGAGGAGAAAGTATTTTCCACACAACCGTGAGAAATTTCAGCTGCCAAAGGACTAGGCTGCAAGGAGATGGGCAGACAGTTATGGCTCTGCCAAGTTCTTCATAAAACCTAAAGGTGTGTATCGACTGAGACAGCCCCACCAGCATCCCAGCAGTCAGAAATCTGCTAGGCACTGATATCATCTACATATAACTGAGAACGGAGCTCTCTTGGCTTGGAGTAAGACAGGACAAGGGAGGAGAGGAGGGCCAGTCAACCCAGATCTAAGGATATGCAAGAATGGAATGAAAATGAGCCACAAATACGTATCCAATGAAAGTGCAAGGTCTGTCGTTGTATAAGTATAATCTGCAAAGTAATGTTAAAAGATTTCTAGGGTGCTCTGTAATCATTCATTCATTATTAAGCACCTACGAGCTACCTGGGCCAGGCTAGAATCTGAGGAAAGAGATAAGTAAAACCTCCCTGCCCTCAAGGAGCACTAGATCTAGCAAAGAAGATACCAAACCAATAGTAGATTTGGGGAGTTTGTTAAAATACACATTGGTGGGGCCTAAGAATTTGCATTTCTTTTTTTTATAAATTCTGTTTTATTTACTTTTTTTTTTGAGACAGAGTCTCATTCTGTTGCCCTGAGTAGAGTGCTGTGACATCAGCCTAGCTCACAGCAACCTCAAACTCCTGGCTCAAGCAATCCTCCTGCCTTGGCCTCCCTAGTAGCTGGGACTACAGGCACACTATGCCCAGCTAATTTTTCTATTTTTAGTAGAGACTGGGCTCTTGCTCCTGCTCAGGCTGGTCTCAAAACTCCTGAGCTCAAGTGATCCTCCCTCCTCAGCCTCCCACAGTGCTAGGATTATAGCCACCCACCCATCCTGGCCAGAATTTGCATTTCTAACAAGTTCCCAGGTTTATGGTGATACTGCTGGTCTGGGAACCACACTTTGAGAACCACTGAAATATGTTCTGTAATAAAAGTAAATACAGATTGGATTGCTGAGGAAGCACAGAGAAAGATTCATTCTGCTTGGGAAAATTCTGGAATAGCCTTGAAGGATGGATAGGATTTGGATAGGATTTTCCCTGGCTACGTGGAGAGGAAGAAAAAGACAAGAAACAGCCTGAATAAAGACCCTAGAGCCAAAAAAAAAAAAAAATAAAGACATATAATGCAAGTATCTTATCACATTTTCTTTGATGTTAACAAAAAAAAAAAAAAAAGACCCTAGGGCTCAGAAGAGGTTGGGTCTTTGAGGAGTAGGTTAGCTGGCGAGAGCCCAGGGGTTATATGAACAGTGGGGGGTTGTAGGAACTTACGGTGGTCTTGGGTTGGGGAAGCTTCTTTAATAAGCATTCAAGCAATTCTGCCCTCCATGAAAGTTGGAGGAGGGACTGGAGGAGAGAAAGATCTGGCCAGGTGCAGTGGCTCACACCTGTAGCCCCAGCTACTTGGGAAGCTGAAGCAGGAGGATGGCTTGAGCCCAGAAGTTTGAGGTTGCAGTGAGCTATGATGACAACACTACACTCTAGCCCAGGCAACAGAGCAAGACCCTGTCTCAAAAAATATATATACACGTATATACGTATATACCTGTATATATATACATATATATGAGAAAAAAATTGGAATGGGATCCTGAGGGCTGCGGGGAAAATTGCATCCCTGGAGAGCCTCAGAAGAGAACTGATGAAACCCTGATTGTTCCCGCAACTTGCCTAAGACAAATCCTGTAGGTTCAGATGAAAAAAAACTGTGAGTTTCTCTTCCCCTTACACTTGGAAAATACCTAAGGTACCATCTGAAAACACTATTTTGGTGAGTGATGGGGAATAAATCAGTTCAAGAGCCAAGTAGACCTGGATTCAGATCTAGCCTTTACTCCCAACCATGCCACTGATTAGCATAAACCTCAGGTAATTTATCCTCTCTGAATCACAATTTCTTCATGTCTGAATGGGAGGAAAATGCCCAAGATACAGAGCTGTGAGGTTTAAAGAGGCTGTCGACTTATACAAAGTGCCTAATATCTTGCTTGGGGCAGAGGAGGTGTTCAGTATGTTGACACGGTAAACTGGGTAAACTGTGGGCTCAGGAGTTGGACTGCTTCAGTCTGAGTCTCAGCTCCACCACTTACTGTGGATTTTGGGCCAATTAATCTCTCTGAACCACAGTTTCTTCAACTGTAGAATGGAGGTAATAATAGTACCCATCTCCTAGTATTATTATGAGAACCAAATCAGATAATGTACATAAATAGACTGACTCGGCCTCATTAACCTCCCTCTACTTACTTGGTAATGTCTTATGACACCACTAGACTCTGAATGTTGGGGGCAAATACCCTTGTTTGATGTTTGTCTCCCCCTTCTTTAGCCTAACAATGCACACAGTAGGCACCAATAAACGTCCTATTTTGTTCCCTGCGTCTTCCAAGACAAAAAGGTAATTTCAGACTATGACTCCCTCCCAGCGCCAGAGAGGGGAACTACAACCAAGCCGAGCGGCTGAGTCTAAAGGGTGCGCGCGCACACGCCGCCGCTGCTCCGCCTTCCACTCGGCAGCGACAAGACTCCTTTGCTCTTGTCTGCTGCTGGAGCTGCTAATAAAGTTTGATTCAAATGAATGAGCTGCCCGACCCTGCTGTCCGCTCACAAACTTCTTTTCGCCCGCTACACAGACTCTGAGCACCACCCACCCAGCGCGGCAAGGCCTGAGGGGCAGGACCGGAAGTGAGGTCAGCCCTCCCCGGGGTGAAAGGTTAACGGAAGTGCCCGTTCTTCCTTTCTGCTGTACTCCCTGCTTGTTGCCGTCGGTGAGTTGAAGGTTGGGAAGAGTCTTCCAATCCGCCGCCATCCGCGTTCTGGGGGTCGAGGGCCAGGGTAGCGCCGGGTGCGTTCTGTTCCTGGGTCTCTGGCGACTCCGTAGCCGATCTTGTCCTGCGAGCAGAACCCGCGGGCGGCCTGAGCCAAGACGGCAGTGAGCAGTCTGAAGTCCTGGGCCCAAGCCCCGGGCTTGCGGGCAGGAATCGGCTCAGGGGTTCTTTGACTTCACAGATTTCTAAGCGGCCCCTTCTTGCTCTCTGCAGAAATGGGCAAGTTCATGAAACCCGGGAAAGTGGTGCTGGTCCTGGCCGGACGCTACTCCGGACGGAAAGCCGTCATCGTGAAGGTACCAGCCTCGCGGGCCTCTACGCCCTGGCGTCCCGGGACCGGGCCGGCTGCGGAGGGCGGACAGGCTTGGACTTCAAGACCTACTTCTGGGGCAGTAGCTGCTGAGCACGGTGGGGGGGAATGGTGAATGCATTCTTGCATGAGAGCTTTTGGGAGAGGAAGACGCAAAGTAAAAACAAATGTGAATTGAATTGGGCACCTAACGCATAACGCGGTCTCCACCTAGAAGGCTTTAATAGTAATAGTGGCCAACATTCATTGAATGCTTGCTTGGTGCCCACCGCTGCCTTCCAGGTGGTGGTGTTTGCAGCCCTTGTAGTAGCCACAGGAGGGAGGTTCCTTTCCACTGCTGAAGTTTAGAGGTGTCTAATTTACGTGACGTCACACAGGTAGTAGTCATTGCAGCTGGGATTCTTTAAAAAGAGAATTTGCTTTTAGTCAAATGGTCACTTATATTCTAGCCCTTTGCTGTTTGCCTCCTACCTACGTTTTTGGAGCCTCTTGCGAGATTTCACCAGACTCTGGCCACATATACTAGTGGGTTTTACTGTTGCGGGGACACGGGAGTACCCTTCCTACCCCTTCTCCCATCTACCTGAGACTAGTCTCTGGAGTTAGGCTGAGGTTGGAGTCCTGGCTCTGCCCTTTACTAAAAGTGTAATCATAGAGGACGTTAGTAAATGTAAAGTCCTGAGAACAGAACGTGGCACAAAGCAAGCACTCCTTGGTGTTAACTGTTGTTCTTACTTTTAAATCTCTTGCCTCTCATAGGCCTTTCCAGAGTCTTCCTAGTGGAAATAAACACTGTCCTGTTAATTCTTTGGGCATCCAGCATAGCCTTCTGGTTTTTCTCTCTTTACAATGGTGGGTCTCAGCGACCTGGGGGTGGGGGTATTTTTTCTATACATTCGCTATGTCTAGCACAGAGCCTAAACAGGCCCTCTGTGAGTAACAAGTCTTAATTCTTGCTCATTTAGAACATTGATGATGGCACTTCAGACCGTCCCTACAGCCATGCTCTGGTGGCTGGAATTGACCGCTATCCCCGCAAAGTGACAGCTGCCATGGGCAAGAAGAAGATTGCCAAGCGATCAAAGATCAAGTCTTTTGTGAAAGTTTATAACTACAATCACCTCATGCCCACAAGGTGAGCATTTCAAGAACTGGATTTTTTTTTTTTTTATTCTCTCTTCCCTGCTGAACAAGGAGATAATCTCACAGCCATTCCGATGCTGGGAAGGGGTGTCACTTCCAGTTTGTCACTCTTCAACTTGTAAAGCGGCCACGGTTTCTAGTCTTGCCTCTTTCATCCATGTTGGAGCCCTGATCCTGTTGTCTTGTGTTCCCTGACTTAGCCATACAGTATTGAAAAGTCTCTTCAAAGCTTGTATTTTATCTCTTTCTTTCTTCACCTGAAAAAAATCCTCTTGAGTTGCATAAATTTTACATTTGTTTTCTGTCCACAGTAAACACAGACATAGGGTCTGATCTGCTCTCTTCCGCTGTTCCACCCTCAAGAATAATTACTATAGTCTTTCAAAAATGGTTGGTAGTCCTGGTGCTGGCTACTCACACCTGTAATCCTAGCACTTTGGGAGACTAAGGCAGGAGGATTACTTGAGGCCAGGCTGAGCAAGAATGAGACTCCCATCTGTACAAAAAATAGAAAAAAATGAGCCAGGTGTGCTTGCATGCACCTGTAGTCCCAGCTACTCGGGGAGCCTGGGGCAAGAGGATCCCTTGCCCCCAGGAGTTTGAGGTTGCTGTGAGCTATGATGACACCACTGCCCTGTAGCCCCAGCAACAGGTTGTTGAGAGTGAAAGCAAGCCTTCCCCCAGTTGATCTATTCACTTGCTGAGCCCTTCAGTCCTCGCCTTTCACAGTATTCTACAGCACATATGCTGTCTTGGTACAAGGGTTTTAAAGAAGTACGAGAATTGAGAGTCCAAATAATAATTGCCAGAACCCAGTAGTGTGTACCTTAAAGTTTGCTGCTGGGACTGCACATTTACTCTTGGTTTGCTGATCATAAGAGGGCAGAGCTGTATTCTGGGATGCTGTGAGGTTGAGGCAACTAGCTGCCTGGCTTTTTTGTGTTCTCGTGAGACTGGCTGCATTGGCAGAACTTGAACAACACTGAGTAAATGGCTCCAAGTAGTAGAAAGCTAGGCTGTGATGGATGTAGAGAAGGACTGATGTGATGATTCTTAGCTAGAAAAATAGAGTAGCTGTGGGAAATTGATGATGAAGTGTTGAGATTTTTTGGTGGCTTGAATCCATGTAAGTGAGTGTTAAAGTGTGGATTTCCAAAGAATGTCATCAGGACACAGCTTTTGATAATTACTCCTAAGGAGTCAGGCTTGACTCCCCAGTGTCCCAGAAGGACTTGGGATTAGCCCTGGCAGTACAGGGGCTAATGCTGCCTCTCCACTGTTGTCCCCAGGTACTCTGTGGATATACCCTTGGACAAAACTGTTGTCAACAAGGATGTCTTCAGAGACCCTGCTCTTAAACGCAAGGCCCGACGGGAGGCCAAGGTCAAGTTTGAAGAGAGGTAAGTAGGCTTTGGCAATGGATATTCGGGTACAGTGTCACTATTCCCCATGAAAAGGCTTTTGTCTTCCTGTTCCTCTCCTCATTGGTGTCTTTTTCCCCCCCTTCTAGGTACAAGACGGGCAAGAATAAGTGGTTCTTCCAGAAGCTGCGGTTTTAAGCGTTTTTTGTTTTGGTCATTAAAAATATTTAAAAAAAAAAAAAGAAATCCTTGTGTCTGCCTGCTGCATGTATTTTCAGACTGGGAAAGGGAGAACATTCGAAGCATTGAAAGGATAAGAGATACTGGGTAGTGGATGAGGGGCTGTGGAGAAACTAGAAAGTTAAATCCAGTCAGGCACAAGGGCTTGCGCCTGTGATCCTAGTTGCTCGGGAGGCCAAGGCCACCCTGGACAACACAGCAAGACCCTGTCTCTAAAAAAATTAAATCTGGCTTTGTGAGAATTGCACTACTTCTTTTTTTTTTTTTTTGAGACAGAGTCTCACTGTGTTGCCCGGGGTAGAGTGCCGTGGCGTCATCCTAGCTCACAGCAACCTCAAACTCCTGGGCTCAAGCAATCCTACTGCCTCAGCCTCCCGAGTAGCTGGAACTACAGGCATGTGCCACCATGCCTGGCTAATTTTTTCTATATATTTTTAGTTGTCCGATTAATTTCTTTCTATTTTTAGTAGAGACGGGGGTCTCACTCTTACTCAGGCTGGTCTCGAACTCCTAAGCTCAAACAATCCACCCGCCTTGGCCTCCCAGAGAGCTAGGATTACAGGTGTGAGCCACCGCGCTCGGCCCTGATAATCCTTTAATGCTCTGGCTGTGCTTGGTGGGTAAAGGGTGACATACGGTGCCAAAAGGGCTACTGCTAACATTTTTAGGTGAGGTAATTCTTCCCTGTGCAGAGTTATTTATCCTCTCTGGCTTCTACCCATTACATGCCAGGAGAACCTGAGCTGCGACCTGCCCCTGTCCCTTCTCCCTTAAGATAACCAAAAGCCCCTGAGTGGGCGCCACGTACTTCAAACTGAGAACCACTAACCTGAGGGTCTCAAGCCTTAGATCAGGTGGAGCTCACCTGTATGATTAAACCACAGATTCCCAAAGTCCCCTCAGACTGATGTAGTAAGTCTGTGTTTCTAGCAAGTTTTCAGGGACCGCCCTAGAGAAATGCCCTGGGTAGTTGGGGTGGATGCCAGTGATGAAGGCCTGAGCCCAGAGCAGCCATTTGGTAAGACAAGGAAGAGCTTCCCAAACTGGCCCTGGCTGGCAGAGAGTATCAGAAAGATAGGGTTCAAGGGGCTTGGGCACTGGGTTATGCCACTGTTGTGTAGTGCAAGAAAGAGCTGATCCATCAGTTTACCTCTCGCTGGATGCTTGACTGTGACCCTGTTTTACTGATGATACACTTCTCCAGTCACTAGCTGGAACTAGAATTCAAACAGGCCAGTTTGTGAAGTCTTGTAATTGGTACCACACTTCCACCTGTGATGGGGGAGGGGCCAGGGGCTGAGAAACAGGGTAGGTAAGTAACTTAGTGAAAGAAACCCTGGACCAGGTGAAACTATTAGGGAACATGTACTATGCACTGTGCCTTATGTACTTTTTGACTTGAATCTTCTCACCCCTAAGTATTAATAGGCATCTATATTGAGACACTCCTCTTATGTAGCTTGCCTACTCAGGGTCTCAGAAATGGAACTGAATGTAAACCCTCTTTTGACTAAAGATTTTGCAAGTTCTTTCCCCTCTACCTGGAGGCCCAAGTTCAAATAAATACCGTGCTACCAAGTTTGGATACATGTTTCTCTGCCTCCTAGCACTGTGACCTTGGGCAAGTTTCTAAATTTCTGTGCCTCAGTTTCCTCATCTGCAAAATGGAAAAATAGAACCAACTTCCTGGGGGTTATTTTGAAGAGTTAATTCATGTAAAGCAGAATGGTGTTGGGCACGCAAGCTCCCAATGCTGGCCACTATTACAGCTTTGTGAATTTATCTGTGCTGGTTGCATTTCTCATTCAGCGATTACTCTTTCAAAGTGTGCATGTGCCAACATCATTCTAGGTTCTAGGGAAATATCCATTAACAAAGCAAGGGCCACGAGGAGCATGTGCTGGGATTGCTTGTCCGGGAATGGCGATTGGGGCCAGCATTCAGTTTGCAGTTGCTGTGAGGTAGCTTCTCTTGAGGCCTCCTAGCTGGGTGGAGTCCTTGGAAGGCTCCTCCCAGGGCTGGGGAAGCTACAGCTTGGGGGCACGTGAGCACCAAAGGGGCAGGGATTTCGCTGAAATGAAAGTGGAAGCAAACAGCCTGCTTGCAGAAGCTTCGGAAGCGTATTTCAGGCCCTGCTCGGGCTGGAGGAGACCAAAACCCCTCAGAGGATAGAAGCAAGAGTTCAGTCGTGGTAGACTCTGCCACTATGTGCCCAGCTCTGAAGCCTCAGCTCTTGCCACACGGACCCCAGGCCCATGTCAGCAACGCTTGATGAGGTAAGTGGGGAGGAGGGAGATGGGAGTGGGGAGAAACAGAGGAGCCCCTCTCTTGGCCAGGAAGCTGCAGCTATCTCAGGATCTAGTGGCCAGGCCTCCCCCTGCACATCTCTTAGACCTGCTGAAGGGCTGGGAAGAAACGCAGGGCTGGGATTCCTCTCCCCTATGGAGTTGGTTTCCTGACCCACTGCCTCAAAGACAGAATTCTCTCATAACCAGTGCCATAGGAGCCCGTGAATTCCTATGTGCATTTTTCTGGAAGGAGAATCCATAGTTTCCATCAGATACTCAGGGTTATGTGACCCAGATAAGAATTGTTCTCATGGGTGATATACCCTTCTCCCCTGAGATCTTCCAAGACTCTCCCTTCCTGGTAGTTAAATCTCAGCTCAACCTCGGACCCTCTCCAGGTCCAGGAAGAGGTGTTCCTCCTTTGCTCTGGTCCACCCGGACTCCTGAATGCCCCTGCCTGTGCTAGACTAAGCTCTGTGAGGACTAATGCCCTGTCCCTCCCGGTCATCATCCATCCCCCGTGCCTAGCACAGTGTCTGGCATGCAGCAGGCACTGAGTAAACACTGTTAAATGAATGAATCTCGCCCTCTCTCCAGTTTTATCAGCCTTTCCCTCCCGGATACTACCCCTTCTGTTACAAATACACAGAGATCTCTCGCTTGGAAATTTTTCATTTGCCCCTAAAGTATAAGAAAGACCACAGCCTCTGGAGCCAGCTTGCCTGGTTTCAAATCCTGATCATGTTGCATTGTGTGGCCCTGGGCAAATCATTAGCCTTTCTAAAGTTTACAGTCTAAGCTCTATTTCCTCATCTATAAGATGGGAATGATATTAATACTTTCTCACAAGAATACCTACCTGTAAGAATTAAACTACAGGAATTATGCTGCAAGTATTAAACTAGATAATCCATAAGTTAATACAGTAAAAACTTAGCCCACTGCCTAGCACATACTGAGCGCTCAACACGGTTTGTTATTGTTAATATTGTTATTGCCAACTTTTCAGAACCCCAGTTCCCCAGGACAGTTGGTCCACCCCCACCTTGCTCCTACCTCTGCTAAAACTGCTTTCTTAAAGGGCCTTTACATATCAAAAAGGAAGGAAGCGGTGTTCAGAAAACACCACTGTATTAATACAATTCTTAATACAGCATTAAATTCATAATTGACAGACAAGCTCTGTTAACATTTTGGTGTTTATTTTCCCAGAGTTTTAATGTAGTTTTATGCATTAATAAATATCCTTATCAATTAAAACTTTCAGAATCAACAGAATAGGGGTCGGGCCTGGTGGCTCACTCCTAGCACTCAGGGAGGCTGAGGTGGGAGGATTGCTTGAGGCCAGGAGTTTGAGAACAGCTTCAGCAAGATCAAGACCCCATCTCTACTAAAAAAATAGAGCAAGACCCGGCCTCAAAAACAAAAACAAAAAACCACCAACAGAATAGGAATCATACATTATATACAGTTTTATATTTTGCTTTTTTGGCTTATTGTGAGCATTTTTCCATATTCCGCATTCTTCAATAACATGTCTTTTGATTGCTACATAATATTATATTTATTTTGCTATTCCTCTGTTATTGGACATATAAATTTCTTTTTTTTTTCTGTTGTAAACAAGGCTACATTAATCCTTGTACGTGAATTTCTGATCATTTCCTTATGATGAGTAGGACTGGTTTTTTCTTACCAAATGCAAATACCTACCAAGTTGCTAAATCTCAGTGGTTACATCTCATCGTCTCATCGCTCGTCTTGGTTGGCCGGTCTGCAGCGTTTGGCTCAGCTGTGGGCTCCTGCGTTCCCTCCAGTTTCGATAGCAGCTCCTCTGCGTTCTCCTCAGCTGGATCTTTGCTGTTTCCCTGACCTCTTAGGATTGGATGCCACAGAAATCAGCGCTTGGACCTCTTCTTTGTCTACACGCTCTTCCTTGTTGATCTCATTTAGTTTTGTGACTTTAAATATCTTCTCTGCCAGGACAATTCCCCAATTTATATTCCCAGCCTAAATCTCTTCCCAGAATGCTAGATCTGTAGAGGCAACTGCCACAACACAACTCTACTGGGATCTCACAGAGACACTTCTTACCTATCATGTTCAAAATAAGCCCTTAATCCTCTGTCCCAAATCTCTGCCACGCAGTCTTCCCCACTGCGTCAGATGGCTCTCCTTCCTTCCAGTTGCTCTGGCCAAAAAGCCTAGAGTCATCCCAGACTCTGCTATTTCTTCTATGTCCTTCTTGCAATCCATCAGCAACTTCAATTAGTCTAGACTCTGATGGCTCCTCACCATTTCCACTGCTGTCCTGGTCCAAACCACCACCGGCACTCACCAGATGCTGCAATGGCCTCCTAAGTGCATCCCTGCTTGTGCCCTTTCTCTACATCTGTTATTTACAGGATAGCCAAGTAATCCCCTTAAAAGTCAAACCTGCCTACAGCTTCCCACCTGTCTTCAGGTAAAAGGCTCTGCATGATCTGGCTTCTGTGTCCTCTGTGACTCCATCTCCAGCCACTCTTCCCCCAGCCTCTGCTCCAGCCATGTTGGCCTCCTTGCTATTCCTCAACTACACGTGACATTCCCACCACAGGGCATTTGCACTTGCTGTTCCCACTGCACAGAACTTTCTCCCAGATGTTCCTCACAGATGAATCTCCTTCAAGTATGTGGTCAACAATCATCTTAGCAAGGTCTCCTC